TTCAAAATGGCAGACAAGAGTTCTTTTTGGTTTTGTGACTTGCTAACTATCAGGTCTCAAATTTGAGGCAATATTTTGAGATTAAAGCTAGAGACTGTTTAGTGAATAGTAACTAGTCACAAATTGAGATTTTACCACAGAATGGCTCAAATAGAGACTAGAGACTGGTTACAGAATCCCAGTATTAGTTACGTTTTTCATATGATGCAAGAAAATAAAATCTCATTCTAATCTACTTTATTAATCGGTGATTAATTTTGAAAAATTTTCTATTTTCTTGACTCCGCAGCCGATCGCCACAGCACCTCGAAAAAGGTGTCTGAGGAAATCTCAAATCAAAATTTTAAATTTTGAAATAAAAAAAAAAATAAATAAAAATTCTTATAGATTTATTAAGCTAATAGTATTTTTTACATACGGAAATAAAGAGAAGTCTTTCGGCATTAAGCCAAGCCTGGTAGTTGCGACATGTCCAGTTTTTCAAAAAAAAAACAAAAAAAAAACAGAAATATTTTCGTGGAACTGCTTCGTTCATGAACAACTTTTAGTGGTGAATATTTTTAAGCACCCATACAGTCAGCTGCTCTTTGCTTTTGGGCTCATATGTGTAGATTCACCGTGGAGTGATCTATGACCTCAATTGGATTCATTCATAAACACTGACAGTTGATTCAAATTCAAACAAATTCCTCAATGCACTGCTGTTGAAATAATCCACGATGAGGTTGTGTGTTGCCAGATTACACACCAGGGTGGCCAAATCACTGTAGCATATAGCCGCCATAAAAACTGAACAATCGAGTTCTTGTATGAAAAGCTTGCTTATTTGATGAGATATCTTCACGAACTTCGGCAGAGATTATTGTCCAAGGCAACGCAGATTCTTGTAAGAAAAACTTTTTTAATTAGAGAGATAATCTCACAAAATTTCGGTAATGATTATTATTTAAGATATCGTTACAGTTTCCAAACAGAAAGATCTTTTTATACCCTTTTATGCTATACAAAAAGCCTCTGTGCAAAGGTATAGGGTATTGTAGCTTCGGTGCAACCGAAGGTAACATGTTTCTCTGTTTTAATATTTTTTTGATTTTTATTTCAATAACATTCTAGTTCTTAAGGGTTTACATAGGTTGGCGTTTATTAAACTCTGCAACACTTCTAGAATATTGTCCTCAATTTGCAAGTTGATCCGAGTAATAGTTTCGGAGACACAGCCTTGAGAACTTGTACGCTCGAGGCTAGCTAGACTAAGTGCGCTGTCTTTAAACATGTTTCGTTTTTCAAAACTGTGTTATTGTAGTCGGTTGGCAAGATTTCTTGAGAATATTGTTAAACCGATCTTCAGGAAATTCTACACAGGTCTGTGAGATACAGTTCTGGATGAAGGATTTTTTTCGATTAAAACTTTTTGAAAAAGAATGTCGCGAAACTTTAATTTTGTTGCAAAAATCTCTGTCAAAAAGCCAATTTTCGGCCTTTTTCTCCTTTGTCCAAGTTCTAAATTAAGGTTTTAACTAAAACACGTATATTTTCACTTTAGATGATCCTGTAAGGAGTTATGCTGTCAACGCGAGCGCGAAACCCATGCCACCCCTTAACGCTCACCAAGTTTTCATTTAATATTCT